TGCACGGAAACTCCGTCCGTAGGTGCTCTTGAGTGAGTCGATATTGAAGAATGGACTAACGAAGTGACGGGGGTCTTTGCTCCTCTTTTTAATTACGGCCATTGCATGAGAACAAGGCCATCCTCTCCCCTGATACTTCTGGCATGAGCACTCACCAACTTTGGTCCTGAAATTGACCAAAACTTCGTGACGGTGACCCCCCCGTCTACCATCCTCCCGATGTCCGGTCGTCACGCTATACTCACCAGTTGAACGATTCATAACGGTTACACTATGTCGACTGCTCTTGCGATTGTCACTGTCCATTATTTCAGTGACTTTATAGGCATGGACCTTTCCCTGTGCCTCGTTTGTCCTTGCCCAGTGGAGACGGTTAACGAACCATGCATTCGTTTTCCAAAATGTCATCTCCACAATGGCAGAGATTGGCAGTGCACGGACGGCCTTGTAGACAGAGTTGATACTCTCACTTGAGTTGGTTGTGGCAATACCCCATCTTTTGCCTCCATCTTTATGAAATGTCCACATGGATAGGTCGTGTCCATCCAGCCACTGTGCCCCTTCAGGGCATAACTCGCGCAACTTTTGCAACTTCTCCTGAAATTTTTTCTCCTGGTATGCAACCGCTGAATAACACACAGAAAAGTCGTATGTTAGTAAATGATCCTCAATTTAGTACAATTTCAAACTGGTTGGTCGGACTCTCGTTAGACTCTTAGGAGAGGTATACATCTCCTTAGAAACACAGCCTGTTTGACAGAAAAAGGGGGGATCCGATGATCGCTTAAAACCCGATTTTCCCAGGAAATGGGAGGACCATCATAATCGCTTAAAACCCCATTTCCTTAGGCATGCATCTCTTTAGAAAGAGTCTAACAAGTGCACCACTCCAGATATTACAAGATATTGTTAATTGAGAGCAATAGAGAGGTTACCAATCCACCACAAATTATCAGCTAGCTTCTTCCGTTTGAAATGATGGTTCCAGTTGCTTTTGAAGTGTCGTATGCACCACCTTTGGGACCAATTCCAGGCTGGATCCAGGCCTAAGATGGCTGCTCTGATGCCGGCGTGCCGATCAGAGATTATTGTCAGGTTCGTCCTCTTGGTGACGTGGATTTGGATTTGTCGGAAAAACCATCCATAGCTATCAGCATTCTCTCCCTCAACAATGGCGAAGGCTAAAGGAAAGACTTGTCTGTTTCCATCCGCCCCACTAGCAATCAGGAGAGTGCCCTTGTACTTGCCGGTAAGGAATGTACCATCCACAGTAATCACAGGGATACAAAAGCCAAAACCATCAATAGAAGGCTTGAATGCCCAAAACAGTCTGCGAAAATGGCGTTCGTTACCTGCCTCTGGGGGTTGTATCTCTTCATCTTGGTATCGAGGGGAGAACACAGTCCCAGGGTTAGACGCCTCCAATGCCAGTATTAGTCTGGGAAGGAATGCATATGATTCTTCCCAATCACCATAGACGGCGGCCATAGCTTTCTGCTTTCCATGCCACGCCTTCTTATAGTTAATCATATAACCAAAACGACTTGCAATGTCAGCGATTATGACTTTCACCTTCAGATCCGGTTCAGCCTCAATCAGATGCTTGATAGCCGCAGCAACCACCCTGGATTTCAACTGTCGATGGCCTTGGGAAGTTATGGATGACACACATGTGTGTGTGTTGACCGCACGGGATATGACCCAGTGGCCGTGTCTCTTGCTGTTGATGGCACGAATCCTAACATTGCACCCCTCGTGATGATTACGGCATCTGACTATGAGCCTTTTGGTGTTGGAATGAGTTGTGTCCCATTCAAAATGCCGAGTCATTGCTTCAGTCTCAAGGGCGTGCCGCACATCCTTCTTCGAGCCAAATTGTTGGCCCTTCGTAAACCCAGTGAGTGGGCCCCATATTGGGACCTCTGGCGGCTCCATGTCGCTGTCGACCATCCAATTGTCGTCTGGAATGTGATTGTAGTAGGGGACTGGTACACGGTCAGGAGCCACATCATGATCATTATCTGAATTTGAATCTGGTGCTGAATCATCAGCACCTTCAAGAGGGTCTGAGCTGTCTGCACTGACGTTGTTCTCTCCTTCTTCATCAGAGGGGTCGCTGACTGGTCCTGGTGTGGCAGCCTCCGTATGATCCTGCTCATGAAAGGCACCTTCATCAGCTCCATAATGGTAGTTGTGAAAACTACCGCTGCCTGTCAGGAAGTTGTACTGGGCTTGGTTGGGGATGTCCGGTTGAACTTCTTCTTCATATGACGAGAAAGATTGATGATGGCCTGCACCTTGCCCTCCATCTTGGTACTGAAAATAGGAATGAGGATCATGGTAACTTTGGTAGGGATGATCGTCATATAATTCACCACCACCATGGATACCAGATGTTTGACCGTGTCCAGAATGACCTCCAACACTAACGGCTGGCTCGGTGTAAACGAACATCTCGGCTTTGGCCAACTTGTTGGACCTCAAGAATTCGAGCATGGAATCTACGTCATCTTGAGTGGTTATGGTATATTCCTCATGCCACAATGACCCAGTTGCTCTGTTTGGGTATCGGTACACCATACGATCTACCCTCCTCGTGCCATCCATGCAAGTAACGTCAGTGCATATTCGATGGAGGTCTTCAAGCTTCGGTCTGGTACCGACCGTTATTTTCTGAAAATTGCCACCGACGTAGGTGGCCCCCTTTCCGGTGTCTTCCGTGTAACCATTCCACCGTAAGCCAAGCAACAACTGACGGAATGCCATCTGCACACAAACAAACCATAGTTTTAGTTAATATCATAAAAATCACAGATCACAAATAACAATAAAAAGTAACACAAAATAAACTTACGAGTTAATGTTAATGCAATAAAAAGTAACACAAATTAAAGTTACGAGTTAATGTTAATGGCATAAAAAGTAACACAAAATAAAGTTACGAGTTAATGTTAATGGCATAAAAAGTAACACAAAATAAAGTTACGAGTTAATGTTAATGGCATAAAAAGTAACACAAAATAAACTTACGAGTTGATCTTAATGGCAAACACACTAAATAAATATAGATATACAACAGAAAAATGAAAGAGAGAATGAGAGGTGTGAAGAGTTGAGGTTTTCCGGCAAGTCTTATATAGGGAAAAAATTGTGAAAACCGCACCTCTAGGGTGCGGTTTTAGTCTGCATGCAGCCCTACGTCCATAATCCTCTGCATGGTGTGTCGGGTGTCGGAAAATTATTGACATGTAAACCGCACTTGGGGGGTGCGGTCTACATGTCAAAACCGCACCTTAGAGATGCGGTTTGTTCTTGAACGCAGAAACCGCATCTCTAAGGTGCGGTTTAGGTAGGTCAGGCCTAAACCGCACCTCGGCCATGCGTTTCATGTAGGCCAGACATGAAACCGCATGGCCCAGATGCGGTTTAGGCCCACAATTATTGACCGCACCCTCCAGATGCGGTTTACATTTAAAACGCACCTGGGGGATGCGTTTTATATATAAACCGCACCTGGAGGGTGCGGTCAATAAAAAAAGGTGCTAGTTTTGTAAATATTTTTGGGCGGGTGCTAGTTTTGTAATTTTTTTTTTAAAGGTGCTATTTCTGGAAAAAACTCTAGCAATTGGGCCCGGCCTGTTGGCCGGCGCGCTGCTGGTGTTATTCATGTACATAAAGTTTATTAACTTAAATTACTACTCAACCATTTTGTCGCTGTCACAAAATTAAACACCAAAATGAACTGCAGTCATCATAAACTCACAAATTCAAGTTGTTATTGTTGTTATAAACACACTCAACTAAGCTGCTATGCTATTGTTATGTACACACAAATTCAAGTTAATTTCAACCTGAAATTCCAATTGTCCATGGAGAAGGATAACCAAAACATGAAAGCTGAAACTATTTAGTATTTACAATGTAAGTCTGAATTTTCTGAAAACCAACCATTTGCAAAGTACTAAAAATACAGTTCATAAAGTGGACCTTAGCTCCAGCAATACTACTCTTCTTTCTTAGTGTAAGAGTCGATCAAATGTTTGATTTTCTTCCTCTTTACGGTGCTCCTTTCAAGACTTGGATTAGTATTGCAGGGTTCCTCAAAGGTTGCAGCAACCAAATTGGTTTACTCTTTGAAACAACTTGATTTCATATACTTCTTGTTCTCTCAAGCTGGATAGGAAACCAAAAGAAGAGTGATTATGGCCCAAATATCCGACCTCTATAAATAACACATAGAAAGCAATATAAGAACCAACAAAAATTAGAGCCAGAATACCATGACAGATTCTTTTTGAATTGATTATGACTATAGCCTAACTCTGAATCAATCAAAACCAAATGCAAATGTTCAACCATATTCAAGAAACCTTAAATTGATTAAATTGGCAAACTCACATTTCACTTTAAGTTCAACCTGGAAGGCTAATATCATACCATAAGCATCTGACTTCACATATTTTAGCTGGTGTTTTTGTTCACATTACCCGTAAGAATGGACATAAGTGATCCATATGATAGACATACAAATTAAGTATCGGATGAGGATTTCCATTACACTTTCGAAGCACATGAGGTCGCATAATAGTACTCCCTTTCACACGGATCAAAAAATTGAACCAAATGCTATATGGATTGCAACTTACCATGATACTTATGAGAAAGTGGCAGATGGGGATAATGATATAGCAACAATGTTTTCTTTTGGATGAAATGAAACTGGAGGGAGAGATTAGGGATCAGAATGAACATCAAAATTCATTGTCATCTTCATCCTAGCCTAGGTGGATAGTACACTTGAAAATCCAACAGAGTTTCTGTGATTCTCACAATACAAACTGTGGTGCATATATACACAAATTTGAGTTCTAACACGTTAGCCATATATGCCTACAGCCTTTTGAAAATTGAAAAGGAAATTCACAAAGAGATAAATACAAACCTCCAAGCAAGGAACTCATCCTGACCGAAGTAGTTAGCCAACGACTCCTTGGACATTTGGGGGAAGGTAGGAGAGGGTATCGTATTTCTTCAATCCCGGCCAGTGGTGCCACACCTATACCATTTAGGCATTTACCCACCACGTTCAATCAACCAACACATCTAATTAATTCAATAAAATGAAGAGAGAAGAGGGGGGAAATTAAGTGAAGAAGGAAGGAACCTTCATGCACTGCACTCAGCCACCGTTGCTTGCAATGGATGTAATGTGTTGAACTTCTAGGTGGCGGGGAAGGCATTTTAGCAACTTTTAATAGGGATCTGGATGGCGAGCTTTTAACAGGGGATATGACTCCGGTTAAGCACTATCCAAGATTTGTAGATGCTGCTTAGAGAGACAAACAACGACAGAGAGAGAGGAGGGTTATCCTGGATTGTTTGAGTAAAGGACGACGCTGGAGTGGAGAGAAACTACTGAGCGGTATAGATGGCAAGTGCGAGAGAGAGGCTGCGGGGTTTCTTGCATGATTTTTTGGCGACAAAACACAAGGGCTGGACGGCGAGAGAAAGGTCTTTCTCAAAGCTCTTCGCATAAAGAAGATTGCCGGTGAGAACCCAAATAAACCCCAACCCATTCAAGTCAATTCTACAGAAACCCGGAAGCGGCCGCAGGAGATGAAAAGCTCGAGGAAGTAGTTAAGGACGACTATTGAGATAGAAATGGGGAGTGGGAAAAGAGACAGAAAAACTCCCGCCAATTGAATTTCTTGCAAGAGTTTTCGGTGACAAAATTAAATTCCGGTAGGGATTGGAAGACTGAGTGTTTGGGTAGACTCGAGGAGCTCTGGGCGACAAAATATACAGGCTGGCTTGAGAGGAAGCTCTTTAATTCCGATAGGGATTGGGATAATGAATGTATTGGATTGGAATGGAATGGCTGCAAGAGCTATGGACGAAGAAACACAAAGGCGGCGAGATGAATGTCTTCGGTTCCGGTAGGGATTGGAAAACGGAATATCTCGGGACGACGACAGAGAAGGGTTCGATTTCCTGTGGGAGATTGGAAGTTACAAATGCGGAAAAGAAAAGGCTTAGTGAATTGACGGAAAACACCCTCCGCAATGTGCGGTGGTTACAGTAGAGGCTGACGTGGCAAAACCTCTATTTTCACATTGCCTTATAGTATTTTGTAGATAATTCTTATAAGAACTTATTTATTTCACACCAAAACGCGTCTCATCGATTAATGTATATTTTCTTACTTAAGAATTATCAATCCCTCTCGTACTTTGTCGATAAAATTTTCCTAAGACATTATTTATACCCAACTCGTTTTTTTATTTCATTTCAATGCATTCGTTATTTAAAACACCTAACGGCCTTTATCGCAAGTTTGAAATACGCAATAACTAAGCTGTTTTTATTTAATTCTCTACTACCAACTTATTATTTGTTTATTATTTCTTTTCATCCAAACACATGCAATTGTTCTGTTCACATCCCTGCACTGCATACAGCTACCGGTTTTTGAAACAGTGATTAGCCCCGAGAAAACAATAGCCGTTACTTAGTAATTACATATATCAAATTAATTATCAATCTGCCGCTCTCTGCACCATGCTATTGTTCGCAGCCACCGTCGACGGTGCTTCTATTGATTTGTTTATGATCTCAATTCCAGAAACTATAATAAAGTCAATGATTAAAGTATTAATTGCAATTAGCATACCGGATTGAGTTTTGTACATTGTTTAAATTTTTAGTTAGTAAATATTCACGGATAATAATGTTTTTTTATCGGTAGGTTCTACGTACGGTGTACTCACAGAAATTAGTGCACACTACGCACTTGTTTTTAAGATATTGAATATTGAAATTTAAATGGAAACATTAGTCTAATATGATGGTATAACATACGATCACAACTATATAATCAGTGTACTACCCTAGTCCTATAGACCTTCAATTCTAAACCCCAACACATTATAACGGTAAACGGTTACACTAAATTCTTCAAATCAAAGTAAATGTTGATTGATTTTTTGTGTATAAATTCATATGTTTTCTTGCCATCATATCTGAAGTGATGATTGACATCATTTTACATGAATCGCGCCAGCCCAGATGGAATGACGATTATGAGACGGACGGGTGCATAGTACGGACCATAAAAATAATGAGAATACCAAATAGAACACCTTCCTTTATCATATAATCTAATGATTATATTTATGAGAAACGATTACAGTCTAGAATTACAAAGAGTGTATCACATAGTCAAGGTTTTTCCCCCTATCTTACTGTAATTAAGTTACTGGAGCTTATCCGAACAGTAAAAAACAGATTGTTCTGCCAAATTGATAATAGTATCGTTGACTTGGTAATTTCAGAGAGGAGAAAATTAGAACCATGCAAGATGTTACCACGTTCTGATTGGAAGTTGGCAGGGGTTTCAAATGGCGGCTTTGAATTGAGCATTTTCTATGAACTTGGAGGGGATTCAATTATTCATTTAGAGTTTCGCTGGATTTAATAATCAACAATAGTCTTGGCATTATTTGGGAGTTTGGGGTTAGAAAAAATTATTATACCGATTGACTTGTTATCAGGTAAATTTTATAGCTTCGGATTTATCATTCACTTTTCCCGACCTAATCGATCTTCACACCTCCTTGTAAGTTTCTTAGATATTTGAATATGCAGACTGACTCTTTTATAACCAAAACGCACCGAATCTCCCGAACAATTTCACTGTAATTGAGGTTAAACGACTGCTATAGCAGATGCTTGAAATGTTAAATCATAGTATCGTGAGGCAAATTTAATCTATCGATGCTCACTCAGCTTCTGCGATTGACCATTCACTTACCCCAACCCAAAAACATGTTTTTCACACCCATTGTAAGTTTCTTGGAGATTGATTTTGTTTTGATCATATGATTCTATAATTAGTTGAACCTTCACATATAGTTAATGGGTAAAAATTGAAGTACTAACCTTCAACTTCAAGCGACTGGGTTTTTTTTTTATGGCGCTTCAATTGTTAATTTTTTTCCCCATTCAAGTTGTTTGGTTTTTTTTTTGCTACCGTGTTGTGAAAATGAAAGGGGAAAAAAGAAAACGTATATTATGCATTAGGTGAATTACAATTATTCATGCTTGATACATACGAGTCGTAATTATTTATGGAATTGTTAATTGTAGTACTCTCACTCGATCTGAATGCTTTTGGATATCGTTTCTTAGACATCGACACATCTCGTTTTATTGACATCAACAAGTAACAACTCACATGGTTAACTATTTAATGACTCCATTTGTCATCACTAACGTGTTAACTGTATTCATTACGAGTAGAACACTATTGTCACTAGTTTTCAACATGTTGATTCCAATTTCATATTTGAATTTCAAGGTAGGTTTCCTCCCCATACCTTTCACTAACCCCTCATTTAGTTGCATGTACAACCTTTACCAGTGATCCGACCAGAAAAACTTCCTATAAAATAGTAAAATATCGTATGAATAATCTTTTCATTACAATCTCCAATAAAGTTTTCAGAGATACGGAGTCACCACCACGAAGCATTTGCTATAAGATCATTCATTCGGTTGGTAGATGGATGCTTGCTCGGAAGTTGATTACAGATGATGTGTGCTGGGAATGATTCTGGGTATTATCCACTAAATTAGATAATGTTTGTTCTTGAGTGTTTTTTTATTTTTGTAATGTAATACCCGTTGACTAGTTTTTTCTCTTTCTTTGTCGTCGGTTTTCCCGAGTCTTCCCATTCCATGTTGTTTTTTGTTTTAGTTTCAGTCTCTCTTTTGTGATTTTTTTATAGTGTGTTTTTGGCGTTGTTTCTAGTTTTCAATTTTTCCTTGTATTACTTCCTTTAATTACTTTTTAATAAAGTATCCTCGATTATCCAAAAAGAAAAATGATAAATACAATATATTAACCACAACTATTATGAAGCGGGAAATTATAGCCACAACTATGAAAATTCAAATTATTAGCCATAACTATTGTTGCGGGTCAATATATGGCTAACTGTCTGTTACTGTTATTGAATTTTCAATGGAGAATGTCAAGTCATCGGCCACGGCGCAGCAGCCAAGTCGGACTGCTTTTAATTTATAACTTTAAAACATAAAAGTTCAGCCAGTATTACAAACGAAATTGTTAACAGATAGTTAACGTTTGGCTAATAATTTGAATTTCCATAGTTTACGGCTATAATTCTCCACTTCATAATAGTTGTGGCTAATATATTGTATATTTATAAAAAAAAAAAAATCTCCGATACAGTTTTACCGTCATTACCTGTAGGTGGTGCTTTCGACTTTCGTAGTGTGGACTCTTGAATCTTGATGGACTTGGGTTGCGACTTGCGATAGCTTGAAAATGAAATACCGTCATGTGAACATGACAATAACATATAGATCGATCTTCTTAAATACGTCTATGAAAAAACTGCAGAGACTTTGGGCCGTTTTGTTTATCTTCATTTTCCTTGTCGCTGTTCCCCGATTTATGCTGTCACGAAAGTTTGGCAATTGATTTACATTTTTATTCAAAAGGGTCGGTTCTGGTCACAGATTTCAACTGTACATTGACGAGAACTTCATGGATTGATTCTTTTTTTTTCTCTCGTTGCTCATTCATTCCCGTTTATATTTATCCAACTTGGATGCTTTGCCGCGGCTCGGGTTGCTTGTGAATTGCGCGTGAGGGATATAGCACTTTTTTTTATTAAAGTATTCGATCGGTGGATCGAGAATGTGAAGGCACGGCAAGTTGGCCTAGTTGGGTTATATATATATATATATGTTATTTGTTCATAAATAAATTGGCTAAATGATGATAAGGTCAGCTCACGTTCAAGTTAGAACTTCAGAAGTCAGCTCGTTTCAAGCTAAGGGTCGTGGTTATTCATAGTTAATAATTACTTCATTTTTAACTCCTCTGTGCATGTAGCTATCAAGGCAAGACGATGTTAAATATATTATTAATTAACTATGAAGCATACATTAATGATTTTTTTTGTTGAGAAAACGACGGGTATAAATTAAGCATAAAACGATGTTTTTTGGTTTAACAAGTTACAATCAACCCGGTCCACTTACTTGGGTTTTCTGAGAATACATTAAAAAAAAAAGACAATTTGGTTGCTGTGGATACTGGATAGCATACATCCAGATCTTTTCTGACCATGATGCCTATTTTCGTATGATTTTTCTTTTGAGCGCATCAAAATGATTTTCGGGGAGGTGACCGATATTTAACTTTAGAATGATTTTTCTTCACAATGACACATTTAACTTTAGAATTATGATAAGTACTCATTCGTTTCACCCTAATTAAAATGCGGCTTGCCAGTTAAACGTGGATCGTTCCTCATGAATCATGGATCTCTCCGTTCGCAATGACACATTTAACTTCAGAATTCTGATAAGTACTCATTCGT